TAACAAAACCTGACCATTAACATATCTAAAAGGGTAGGTGATGTATAAACATGTTATAAAACACCAGAAAAGTTTGTTTATCTTCTTTTTTAAAGATAAATAAATAAAACATTTGATTGAGATGATCATCTTTGATTGTAGAATTTATATGCATCGAACGCCTGTTAGGTGACTCACTGCAAATATTTGACCAACAAATAATGTTAAATTCGGCGTAAAAAAATCAGAAAAACAAACAATAACCATTGTCCATTGTGAATAAATTTAAAACATGAATTTGCAATTCAGATTTCTTACATGAAATCAGCAATAAAGGAAGAATTATAATATAAATTAAATCCAATTTAGCATAAATCAATTTCAGGCAAAATATAAAGACATTACATTTCACACTTTAGAAATGCGTTATAAACAGAACAGAACAGAAGTTTATTCAACAAAATTGACTTGAACACATCGGTTCATCGTCAATCACATATACAAGTACATGCATGTAATATAGCGAGAGTGAATATAATATTATCAAATATTTACTTTACATATCATATATACATGTGTACAGATGCAGTACCAAAAAATCATATTTAGGTGTATAAGCATTTACTTTAACGTATTCTTATATAATATAGATAATTGCAATAAAATGTACGTTTACTAATACAAATAATCAAGGTTATTCTGCCTTTGCTTAAAAGCTTTAATACAGAAAATTGCAAGTCTATTTAATTTTACAGAGCTACCATTTTTTAAAAGTTCTATAAATTTAGCCATACTTGGGCGCGTATAATAATATTTGGGAATATACTGTGTTTCTTAATAATCTATATACAGGACATATCATAACAAAATGGAATTCGTCTTCTATATCATTTGTTATACATAAGTTATATTTCCTTCCAGCTCTTTCAACATGGCTATGCCTTCCAGTCTCTATATTTAATTGGTGTGATGATAAAAGTAATTTAGCAATAATATTTCTATGTTTTACACAACGTAACATATGTTTTACACAACGTAACATTTCAAGGTGATAATTGAAAAACAGATTTTACTTCTTTACACAGGGATAGTGATGATCTATTATCAACATCTTGTCTCCATTCAGTTGTAAATATATCAAAAAGCCGTAATCTTAAAATTGGAATAAAAACTTTAACATCTACCGATTCTGGAAATAACCAGACATCATTAAAACCAGCACTTTGTAGTATAGAACAAACATTCGAAGCCCAATTTTTAACGCCATTATGTTTTTCCAAATATTTTCTAAGGTCATCTAAAAAAGTGTACAAAATACAATTATTGCGTTTCTCATCATAAATTCTGAGAAAATATTTTACAATTCTTATATGTCTAACTATATACAGAGGGTATCGTCCAAATTCACCATACAAAGCGGAATAACATGTTGACTTTTTTTTACATTTAGAGTCCATATTAGAAATTTTTTATGAACCCTTTCAAGATTTTCAGCTTTAAGAAATCCCCAAACTTCACATGAATAGTTAAGTATAAAGGCAACAAAAATCAAATAGTGCAAGCATAATTCTAACAGGTACTTCTAACTGCTTTGTTATAGATAATAATGAACTCATTGCCCGGAGACCTTTTCCGGCCAACGTTTTCGTTGCATTCATATATGAACCGCCACTTGATAAAACAATTCCAAGATAGTTAAAACTATTTACAGTTTCTATATTCTGACCACCGTATGTAAAATTGACAAAGTTGCTTTTTCTACCACCCTTTTTAAAAAACATTACTTTTGTTTTTGTCTATATTTACTTTGAGTTTCCATTTTGTACAATACTTTTCAAAATTATCTAATGATCGTTGTAAACCTTCTGCAGTTTCAGAAAATATAACAGCATCATCTGCAAATGATAACAAATATATGGAAATTTGATCTAAAGTAATACATGCTGTTTGATCTTGCTGTAAGTACATCATAAATAAAGAAAAGAGCAATGGAGAAGTTATTTCCCCTTGTAATAGTCCAATATCACAGTTGAAAAAATCTGAAAGATTATTCATATGTTTAACACACAATTTGATATCTTCGTATAATGAACGAATAATCTTAAATAGTTTTCCATTAACACCAATCTTTATAAGTTTTGCCCAAAGCCCATTTCTATAAATAGTGTCAAAACATTTCATAAGATCTATGAAACAGCAAAATAGTTTGTTTTTTTGCTTAATCTGTTTTTCAGTCAGAGCATTCAATATAAATATAGCATCAACTGTAAACCCAAATTGAGCATCAGAGATAACATCATTTTGTTTTGCCCAGCTTTTCAATCTTTCATTTAATACTACGGTAAACAATTTGGCAAAACAGCTTATTAAAGTTATAACTCTGTAATTATTTGTATCATTGTGATCTCCCTTTTTGTATAGTGGTATTATTATACCCTTTGTCCATGTCCTAGGAAAACACTGTTTATCTAGTATGTAATTGAATAAAATATTTAACGGTTTATCGAGTATGTCTATACCCTCTTTAAAATATTCATTTATAACATTATCTAGTGAACATGATTTGTTTGTACCCAATAATTTTATTGCTTTTCTAATTTCTTCTATAGAGAAAGGTGCATCGATTTCTTGAAACGTAGAGCTTGATTCAGAGAACATGTTATTGTTGAAATCATTCAAAAAATCTAAACATTCATCATCTTTTTCAAAAACAAAATCTGAACTTAAATTTTTGAAATGATTAAAAAATTCGGATATGTTAATATTGTCACCATTTGCTTTTTCTTTATTTTTCTTAAATAATTTCCAAATTTATTTCGGTTGTTTATTTTTCATTTCATTCATTTTTAATACAAGAGATCTATTCTATTTTTTCTTTGCAGCCCTGCAACAATACTTTTAATCAAATCTTTTAGCGTATAAATTATTTTAATTTTCAGCTGATTCGTTAAGATTAAACTGAGACATTGCGTTAATATATTGCCGCTTTTTATCTTTACATTCTTCATTGAACCATTCTTTATTTGAATTTGAAATGGTAAAGAATGCATGTGTTAGGTTTTTACGTCGTGTCTCAAAATATTTATTTCCATTATTTGTCAAAAATTGAGTAAAAATGTCAACCAGCTTATCCGTATCAGCCCGATCATCTATACATGTATTCAAATCATAGCATAACTGTTCTACATTTTGTGTTATATCATGTAAAAATAATTGCTTATAATCCGGATTCCATCTATAGAAAATGCGGTCCGGGATATCTGTGCAATATGTTACGGTATATGTTTTCAATGCAAATGAGACAGGTGCATGATTTGAGTGTACTGTATAATCATGTACCTCAAAAGCAGATATTATATTTTCAAAATTTCTTAAATCTGTCAACAATAAATCAACTTGGATTTTCCCGTTATGAGTAAAACAAGTTGTTTTACCTATATTTAAATCATCTTCTAAACGACTATTAACTATACGTAAATTTAAACCGTTACAAAGATCAAGTAGGCGGTCTCCAAAACGATTTGAACCATGATCACTGGTTGCTCGTGGTAAATATGAATCAATTTCAAAATTATCGTGTCCTTTTAACGGTTTATCATTCATAATAAAATCGGATTTTCTGCCGACTCTGCTATTAAAATCGCCAAAAACATAAACTTGACCTTGATCTTTGTAACACTGAATATTGCTAAATATTATATCAAAATCGTTAATATTGTGTATTGGCGAACTTTCAGGTGCAATATAGGTTGAGCATAAATAAATGTCATCTGTTAAACGAAAATATATTTTATCAAGTTTAAACCACATAATACAGTCAACATCATTTTTAATTAACTTTACTCCTTTTGTTAATGAGTTTTTTTTACATATATTAAAAGTCCACCACTACATCTGTTGGCTCTTTTGTTTTGGTATTTACGATATGAATTATATAATTTAGATCAAGAACAGAATTCTTATTAAACCAAGTCTCATTTAAAAATATTAAGTCATAATTTCCAATAAAGGTACTAAAATCACTACTTGATCGCTTATCATTTGTTAAACCTTCAATGCTCCAAAAAAGACACTTAAGGTCACTCTCGCGATTGTCCTATTTCTTGACCGGCGCATTCTCTCCTCTGTACAGCATGCCATCAATGTACAATTTGTCTCCCCTCAGAAATTCTTCCTTGTTTTCTTCCCTGGCTTTTACCATGATCGGAATAAGTCTTCTCCTATTTTCCAAGACTTCCTTCGTATATTGTTCACTCACCCAGTATGGATTTTCAAGTGATTTTGAGTTTATGCGTACTTTCTCTCTGTCAGGGAAAAATGCAAATTTTGCGACTATCGGTCGCTGTTTGTCCGATCTATATTTGCCTATTCTATGGGCGCGGTGTAATTTAATATTTTATTTAATGCTTTTCAATGGATTATTGAAATATATCAGTAGATTAAATCCTGATAATCTCACTGTTACAAACAGTGAAATTATCATTTTGATAATTTCACTGCTACGGAACTACTTTTTTTCCCTTCAAAGAACCCAAATATACATGTACAAAAGTACAACTTGAGTTGCCTCCCTTTTATTTACTCTCTTTTTTTACAAACAACATGTACATGTACTTCCTCTTTATTCAGTTACTTCCTGTCGTCTGCAAAAATGGAAAAACTTGCAAATTTGGATGCTTCTGCCCTAGATGATATTTTTAATAACTTCTATGATAAAGAAGAGTATGGAGATTTTCAGGTTGCAAACAGAAATTTTAGGGAAATTGATCCTGATGACTTCCTGTTAGAAAATGAAAAAAAAAATAAAAAAAAAACAGAAAGTGACATGAAATTGTTTATGTCATTTTTGATGGCAAAAAATGAAGCCAGGTTGCCAGAGTACATACCTCCAGATGAACTAAATCATCTTCTCTGTACATTTATTTTGGGCATAACCAAAAAAGATGGTTCCGAATATGAACCGACAACAATCAGAGGATTTATCAGCTCAATCGATCGTCATTTGAAATCAAAATCAAGCCATGTATCCATTTTTTAAAGATGTAGAATTCTCTAAAACAAGAGCTGTATTAACAAAAAAACAACAGCAACTCAAGAGTCTAGGATTGGGCAACAAACCAAAAACTGCAGAAGTGTTGGATGATGCGACCCTGGATAAAATGTATGAAAATGGTACACTTGGTGATGGCAATCCAAGAGCGTTAATACATTCCATGTGGCTTATTTGTACAAGTTATTTTGGCATGCGAACAGGCAAAGAATGCCATGACCTCTGCTGGGGAGACGTACAATTATGTATCGACGAGGTGACGGGGCAAGAATTTTTAATGTATGACAAAGAGAGACAAACAAAAACAAGATCAGGTTGTAACCCTCGAGATACAAGGTATAAAACTATAATACAATTTTTCTTCTAAATGATTAAAAAAAATATCATATTTCTTATTCAACATTATTTCTAAAGTATTTTTAACTTTAATTTCAACAAGAAGACAGCAAGGATAGTTGTATCCAAACTGGGACTCGAACCCAGATCTTTTGCCGATGACAAATGTCCTTTCATTGGACCATTCGGATGTACTACCACTGCCTGTTGTTAAAATTTAAAGAAAAAACACTTATTTTACTTCACAATTTTAAGTTTAAAAAACAGTAATCATTTTTATTTATAATAACGAAACAATATGAATGTGTACTTTATATTTATAAATTGACAATTTGCAGAAAATGTACTCAAAGTCTCAATTTGCAGAAATTGTGCTCAATTTGCAGAAATAATACTCTATCTTATGCAGTGTTTTTTTCTTTATATAACTACTACCCTAAAATGGTACCGTTCCAATAGAAAAAAGACATTATAATTCCAATTTCCAATGTTTAAATTTCCAAAATGGCTTTTCAAAATTCCCACAAGGCCAAGTAATTTCTCTGAAATCATTTTAATCCAACATATTCATATAAATCACCACTTCATAGTTCTACCTGGACAGTGGAAGCTGTTAGCTATCTTTATTCATGATGATTAATCTCATTTGTAGCTGAAAAATGGATTAAAAAATATTCCCAATAGAAGTCAAAATAACGCATTTTTTCCCAATCAGTCCGGTACCGGCACCATTCTCAAAGTAGAGAAAAAAAACACTGTCATGATACAGTCAAATTTGTTAGCAATGGCCATCCGAGAGAATGTGACCTTTATGCACAAGTAGCCTTTATTCAATCAAATAGAACCTTTGTAGCTCTATATATTGCCTATAATTATGTATTGGTTAGTGACCTTGACTTATAGTATGGCCAGCCGCCTTAATTTGCAGGTCATTACTATCATAGTTTTGACTGTAATACTTATTTTGTAAAATCTTATAAACTAAGACCACAAAATAAAGTATTTTTTGCTCATATCTTTTTCAACAATTTTCATACCTTAGAATCTATGTAATTATTTTTTTATGTTTTCAAGATTTATTTATTTAACAAATTTTATGTTAAAGAACTGTAAAACCAAAGGCATTTGGCAATGATGAAGACACACGAAAATGCCCTATTCACCTCTACAAGATGTACCGAGATAAAAGACCAGAGAGCATGTGTTCGGATGAAAGTCCTTTCTTTCTGACACCAGGCGGAGGCACTCAGAAGAGCTGGTATAGAAAAGCTCCAATGGGGATCAACAAACTATATAACATCATGAATGATATGAAATCAGACGCCAACATTACAAATTCAAGAATTACCCCATATAGGTAGAGATTTTTTAATTTAAATTAATTATATAAAAAAAATATCACAAAACAAATATTACATAAATTACATTTCAGTATTGTGGTTGATGATCAACCACAATACTGAAATGTAATTTATGTAATATTTGTTTTTTTTTCGGGATGTTACTGTAAAACTGAAATGATTTCATTTCCCAAATTGATACATTAAATTAATAATTACCATATAAACATAGCTCAGTTGCAGTGAATTTTTAGTGAAATTTTTTGTTTTAAATTTTTAAAATTAAATTTTTCATTCATTATTTTTTGCTATAAATAAAAAGAATGTACTGATTTGTCAATTAAAGGTGAGCCCCAATTTCACAACCACTCTCCAAAGCTGTACTTTAAGTGGAAATTTTTCATTTGAAATTATGTTGTATTTTCATTTGTCATAAATTTAACTAATATAAATAGACGAAATTGTCAATGCTATGTCATGGTTCCAATTTTAATGAAGATGTCCCAAAATTGATGCAATGCCAGGGCTCTCCTTTGGTAAAATTTGGGGCCGAATATCGGCCCCATTCCCCCACCCAAAAAGTGCGTTTTTTTCCCCTAAAACCAAAAAAAAATCCCCCTTGAAATTAATATTTAACTGGCATAGAAAACGCCGATTGGCGAATATATATTCCGCAAACGGCAACCGGAAATTAGTATGTATTCCGCGGACGGCAATCGGAAATTAGTATATATAGAGGATATTTGTTTAGTTCAGTGTAAGATCGGAATATATTTCACCGAGTGAGCACCAAAAGGTATATTTCACGAGTGGCGCAGCCACGAGTGAAATATGAACTTTTGGTGTTCACAAGGTGAAATATATTTCGATCTTACACTAAACTAAACAAATTTTCTTTTTATTACATGCAAAGAAACGTTTTAAAAAGACAATAAATCTAATAATTAATGAAAAGCGCGCCAAATAATAATGCAACGTGACGTCATTTACGACGTCACGTCATTAAGTTGGTACCCAGTACTGTGCACGCTGCTATTTCACTGAAACAACGTAAGGGGCTTAAATTCAAAACAGTGAAATTATCAAAGTGGTAATTTCACTGTTTAAAACAGTGAAATTACCCGTTTTATATCACTGATATATTTCTATAAACCACCGAAAAGCATGTAATAAATATAAATATGACGTTCTGGACAGTTTGTAGCATTCCAAAATGTCGCATGATTTCAAGTCTTACTGAAAAAGAATTCCCCCTTGAATGAAAAATATTTGAAAATCATGCAAAATCCCCCCCCCCCCTGCATGGACCCTGGCCCCAGTCTCAAAATGCTAACGAGAGCCCTGCATGCATGTGTGTAAATGTATGGATTAAACTTATCCTGGATTAAATAATTGTGAAATTGGGGCCCGTTCGTGGAAGTTCTAGTTCAGGGGACCTTGTGAATTACATATAAATCAGGACAATCGTTTTCATTTTTTAGTTAGTCCAACACCCAATATTCAGGTCTAGGAAACCCTTAAATTTACAAATGATTTGTAAATACCGGTATACAAATCATTTGTAAATTGAAAGATTTTTCAATTTACAAATTTAGCATGCAATTTTTCTTAACAAAACCTAAACAGGTAAAGGGCGAAGGGGCTTAACTAGTAGACATCTTGACACACTTTTGCAAAGTTTCAATAAATTTTAATAATTTTGATATAAATTATAGTTTGCTGCTAATCCCGTGTTAAATCTAATTCCGCAGTATCATACGTCATTATTTTCGAAAACAAAATTCTGCAATGACACTTACCATGAATGTAAAAGTGCGCTAATTTTAACACCTATCTATTTTCATTCAAATTTCTCTAAAATCAAGTGCAGCAAAAATTGTTAGTAAACAGGTTTTTGATTATAAACTGTATAAATAAAATTTATAATCAATTTAAAGACAAATCATGACTTTTGATCAACATGTAATAAATTTATGTGAAACAAAACAATAAATTTAGTAGAAAGAATCATTTTACAACAAAATAAAATATTATACCTCATTTGCATGTATACGCCCTTCTATATTGAATATGACGTCATCCAGGCCATATAAGAATTATGGACCGGCCCCGGTCTCTATGCGGTTTATGGACCGGATGACGTCATATTAAATTTAGAAGGGCGTATGCAAATGAGATATAATATTATTTTATATGTACCACGGAAATACACACATTATACTTTGATTTTTTTTAAAAAAGCGTAGTCAACATTTTTAAGCGAAACCTTCTGTAACAGTGCAAGCTTGTAAATTAAGGGGTTTGCTAGGGCTAGACATGATATTTATCTATTGAAAAAAAAAAAAAAAAAAAAAAAAAAAACAGTTAAAAAATATATACAAGCTCATAAGGGTTCACTAAACTAGAACTTATTCATGCGACCATGTAGTATGACTATGTTAGTTTTCAAAGTGTGTTTTTCTAAATTTGTTTTGTTAAATTACAGTTCAAGGAAGAGACTGATACAAAAACTCCAAGACGAGGGAGTTCCAGCAAATCAAATAGTACAGATATCTGGGCACAAGAATATCAACTCAATCAACAACTACAGCAAAATTAACAATGATCAATCAAAGAACATTTCTGACATATTATCAAATAAAATCAGTAACACTCACTCAGATCTCCAAGTTCGAAGTTCAACTCCAAAGTCTGCATCCATGACCATGTCAGATTGTGTTCGTGCAGGTGACAATAATGGAAAGCCTCCACAGGGTTTATTTGCATACAGTCATTTCAACGGCAATGTAACTTTTAATTTCAACAGCTCAATTTCTGAAAGCCTATCCCAAATGTCAGCCGTAACACTGAATCGTAACACCAGCTCCGCCTCTGGATCTGCAGTCGTTGACCCGTGTTCGCCGATAATTAGGCCATACAAACGTATCAGGATGCTACCTGACAGTGACACTGATTCTAATTAATATGAATTAGGCAAATAATGTACCTGTTATGTTGTTCGTTCACTAGTTTGATTTAAATCCTTGTTTTGTTTATAATTCCCACACACGTTACGAATGAAAAAAAAATGGCGGATTGAAATGAACTGACTTCGATTCACGCGCAGTAATTCAGTAGCTTTATCAGCCTAAAACTGTTGTTTACTCTGAATAAATTTACAAAACGATTTCTTTTTTCTGTTTGACATAAATAATAAATGAATAAAACCCTGTCTAGTGAATTATATATTGAAAATGAAAGTTTATCTGGAACTATTTTTATTACGAAATATACATGTGTTACCACGTGAAGAAGAAGGAAAAAGTGGGGCTCCAAACGGGGAACACTCGGATAGGTAAAACATTAAAAATGAGAAATAATTCAATTAATCCATTGAAAAGCATGAAATAAAAAGAAAATTTGTTTGCTTTTGGTGTAAGATCGAAATTTATTTCATCTCGTGATGGCAAGGATTAAATATTTTCACTCGTGGCTGCGCCACTCGTGAAAATATTTATCCTTGCCATCACTCGATGAAATAAATTTCGATCTTACACCAAAACAAACAAATATCCTCTATATCTTTTGCATCTGTTATTTTCATTTTATGCTCTATTACCTCCAGAACTTTATCTACACAGCTTGAATTTGTTTCATCTTTCTCTTCTATTATACAATCAATTCAATTTAAGTGTAAAGACGATAAAACGAAATGAATACAAAAAATGTATTGCATTAAACACTAATTGTATTTATAGTTATTCATTTACATCTTTTGAAAAGGTACTGTATGGTTGATCAATAATCCTTAGAATCCGTGCATGGAATATCTCTACGCTCAGTAAAATAAGACAAAATAGGTCTAATTTGACATAATAAATTGACCAAATATTATGTTTCAGACATCAAATGATCATATGCATTGTTACACTATGAGATATAATTGTTTATTTTCAAACATGTCCAAGAGTAATCGCATTGTAATCAGCGGGTCACATTATAATATTAGTTGTCACCTAATTGATTTGTTCTTAAATAATTGGGTGGAAAATAAGATTGCAGTATAATTGCCAATAGAATAATTGTATAGTCATATAAAAAAACTTTGATTCACCGAATCACCGCAAACAAAATGTCTGATAAGTGCATAATTTATTAAATCTTCATACAGGAATTCGATCGCTTTTCATTGATGCAACAGATATAAACTAAATGCCGTAGTGTTTCCTTCTTGACAGAAGTGTATCTGTTACTTGTAATTACTTGTAAATTTTAAATAAGAATTTTATGATCATTTAAGAAAATAATTTAGAAATATAACTAAAAAGTATTACACAGTTGATCAGGTATGGTAATACATTTACTATGACAACGGAAGTGAAAACGTATATGCTATATAAACATTATGGGGGTCATTCAACACGTAGCTGAAATTTTACTTTTACTGAAATTAGCCCATTTAGTCAGAATCACTCTGTCACTTTATTAAGTTTAGCCTGATTATCATCCATTTCCCGCTTCTTTCAACAACTTAAGATGTCATACACTACCTGAAATTAAAACTGGTATTTTCAATAAATGAGTTTAACAGCAAAATTATTTCAGTTTATATTTTCCCTTTAATTTTTATACTCGGAAAGCAGGACGGGATTTCAACAACGTCAAGTGTCTTACACACATCCACTTAAAAGAACAAGTCTCTCTTATTTATATATAATGTCCGTTAAATTAAAAAATGATACCCACGTGATATAATAGCTTTCTTATTCCATTTGCATTTAAGTGTTTATTCTGATTTATATAATGTATATCAGTCCCTACATGTTACTATATATAAGGATAAAGAGAAATACGTGTCAAACATATTGACAACGGAAATAAAATTAAAATCGAATGAATAAGTGTGATGACTGTTTAATTACATAAAGAAATTAAGCCCTGAAAGTGTTTCCTGTTGCAAGGACACGATATCAAGTGTCGTTAGAACAAATAAAATTGGATTTGTCAACTCATAAATTTCCTCGAAATTATCTTTCTTATACTCGTAGATTTAAAATATGATTGAGCGAGTGTCTGTCAGGGGTTGAAGGCTACCCTTAAAAGTATATCAGCGCGGTTGTTACTTAAAAATTGAATTTAACTGCGGAATAACGTCATCTTTGCGGTGTATATTCCTATCTGAACCGCAACATATGACAGATATTATTAATCTAAAATAACAACCAAACTGATGACACAATAAAATATGCGCTTATGGTATGGTAGAACAGAGAATAGTAAAAATTCAAAATAAGTGTACTTCAGACATGAAATATGCTACAATTGTGTATATACATGTCTATACATAAATAGGCAAAAACGAATGGGCCAAAAAGGAAACAAGCGTACTTGACCGAGATGAGTTGTATATCTTTATACAAATAAAGAGATATTTGAATGTACAAGTACATTGCCGTTTGAACATGATACAGACGCTTGCATAATTATATCTTTTGATGTTTACCATTCGTTATTTTAGTATACAATTGACATGTTAATAAATACAGATATTACATCGATTTAAAACTAATTCGGGCGAATGTCTGAAGAATGATAGATAAGATTATTTCCCCCGAAAACTGCTTTGACGTCACGTTTCTACGATTACGTCGTTTGACCACTATGTTGGAAATGTCATGCCACGGCTCAAACATAGTCAATAAACTGAAAAAAATGAAACCGACACCTTAGAGACAACGAAAAACACCAATGGGTTACCGTGCAATTACTTAGTGAGTAGTCGAGACGGAGAGTAAAAAAAGACGGACGGAAACATAATAAAATATAATAGTTTAAACAAATTTTATTTCAAACATTTTGCAAAAAGAACATTAACATAGTTACAATCATGAATACAATTTTCAACCGATATTTAATCAACATTTATTTGATTACTTTCTAAATATTAACACTATTTGGAACATTGAAATTGATTGTTTTAACTATTATTTTTTGTGATACCTGTATTAATCTTAGTTCTTTTTTGCAAAGAAATGCGTACGGTTTACCTCCAAATCTAGTCATGTTAACGTAATCGAATAAAAAATCAAGATCTTTTAGTATATTGCTATGAATGTATGAACAGTTAAACTAATAAGTACTACTTTAAAGTGAATAAGTCTGTAATGGATTCTATGTAATACAATTAATAATTTTGTTGCTAGTATCAGCTTAAACGATAAACCACGAACGAATTATATGTAGATTTATTTGGTAAGTGTCTGGTACATGATCTGCTACTACACACAGATGATGAAGTGTTCTTGAACAAAATATCATTTTTTCAATATATAAATGTTCTTACAAATATACTTAAAACTGTATCAACATTTGTTTTCAAGCAATAAGTTATATAAATATCAAAAATGATATATTTCTATTGTGTTTATCAATATTTGAGATATTTGAAATACTTATAGAAAATGAGCCTATTGTATACCGGTCCACCTTATATCAAACAATTATATCAATGGAAGTTTTGTACAAAAAAATCATGATTAAGTTATTTAATGAAGGTAAAGAAGGATAACGAATAATGTCTAGGGAATAAGTGTTCTTTTCATAGTAATACAATTATTGAGAATTAAAGGACGTATAGTCTTGGTCTAGACATTGCTAATTTATATAACAATTCTGTCTTTTCTTCGATATTTATTGCTTTGAAAAATAGATATCAGTAATTTTGACTATTTAACGACTAAAAATTATTCGTCCGGGATCTCTTTCCAAGACATAATATTATAAATATAAAATGTTTTCTATACGAAAGTAGATGGTCACCGTTAAATAATGACTTTCTGATTAGTTGAGTACACATGTGCCTCAATTGTATAAAATATAACTTATAACAACTTTGTCAGAGAACTGATCTTGAAGCATAGTGTTTAAAAGCTTTGTATTTATTTTTTGTTTGTTTTATTTTTGTAAGTTGTATAACATTAAATGGGAATCCAATATAAAAAAAGGACTTTTTTCCACACGCATTTCAATTCTTTTGTTATTGTTCTATTATAACATGTCAAAGATATGCAGTTTGATAGCTTTAGAATAAAGGTTCTACGAGTAGTTTAGAAAAATGCAGCAATAAAAATATGTTTATAGAAACTATTGCTTAAAAGGACTATACTGGGGTTTTCTTTGACATGGATAGGCGATTTATGTATGTCTAGACAAATATCGTGTGTGCAAAATTTCTGATCATTTACTCATTGCCATTTTACAGGACAATAATTCATATTGAAAAAAGACCAAAAAACCGAAAAGCGTTGTAACGTTTTTTTACTCAAATGAGGCTGAGAATAGCACAATCATATGATTTTCAATTTGTTTTTGAGTAATTTTCTTTTTGATAGTTTGCATATCTTTGTGTTTAAAGTACCCCAGACAAAATATGTAAAAACGTTCAACTTTATGCTTGTACTTTTTTGACCTCAGTGGAGTTCCTTTAAATTTTACTCGAATGATATTCGTATCATACCACTACATGTACCTACCATATTCTCTAAATTCTCTTGATGTTTCTTCCGTATCAGCTCCGATGTTTTCATTTCATAATGAAGTGATGATGAGAAGTGATGATGAGAAAACCCATTATGACACAGATGTGCAGGAAATTTATTTTATAATAGTACTTATTTTTGTTTTGTTTCTTTAAGTGATATCTATAAGCTGCATATAGTGATCATTATACACTAACTTTGTTAACATATTTTGTTAATTATGTTTTAAAATTTCTGGATTCTTGAACAAATTTGTCAGATATTTGCATAAATAATAATCTGCATTTTACAGTATAATAATATTGCTTCTTGCGTTTGTTTATTCCATATCAAATTGTAACAGACGGAAACACATGCAAATCAATCTGTTATTAACCATAAATGAATAAAAATGCAAAATTTATTTAATTTCAACTGAACTAATCTGAAAGATATAGATGGTATCTGGAACTACAGAAACGTGATATTTCCTAATCTAATACCTGGGTACAAACACACTTTAACAGCGTTAAGACAAACTTCTTTTTATAGTTATAGAGTTATCAACTCGTTGCGCATCTCTACATTTTCTTGCATGTCACTGTCACAAATGCATATGTAAGATGAAAAAAGCCCTACATTTGCCCATAGGCGATGCATCTCTTTTGTAAAATTGCCCCACTGTAACATTGACCCTCTCTAACATTGCCCAAAT